GCCGGATGTTGCGGCCGAAAGCCGTGTTCGGATGAGGGCATCAAGGACTGACGGTACTTCTCCACAACCTGAAACCTCGAGAGATGGCGCGGGAATGGTCTTGGGTGCTTCGACCTTACCGTGAACTTTGGAGAGTAAACGGGTCACCTCTTCGCATTCTTCGGCCGTAGGGTGGGGGTAGTTCGGGTATGGCGTATGACCAGGAGTAAGGCCATAACCACCTGTCTTGGCTTTACTCTTCTTGGATGACGCGTCCGTGGTGGTGGTCGCTTTGGCAACGAGGTCGTCGACTTCCTCCTTCTTTGGTTTGGTGGCTTTTGCAGACTTCTTAGGCGTTGCGGACTTCCTCGGCTTCTTTGCTGAAGCTTTACTCTCGGCTTCCTCGTCTTTAACGGGAAGATCCGGAATAGCACCGAGGTTGTGTGGGAGTTCGTTGATGTCTTCTTGTTTTACTGCTGACCTCTTGGCACGTTTTGTGCTCTTAGATGTAACGGGAGCTTTCTTGGTTGTCGCATCTGGCGACTCTTCGATCTTGACTGCTTTCCTCTTTCGCGTGTTACTCGTTTCGGGGGTAGTTGGGGGACTGGACAGTTGTACTGGCTCAGGCACGGCGTCGGCCCTGGCAGAGCTCCTTGTAGCTCGTGCCATGCTTGGTACAGTGGATATGCCGAGTCGATTCGATTCGATCGTCAAGAGGCTTGGGCGCAGTGCCAGCAGTCGCTTATGGGCAAGTCTGAATGCAATGGTGGGGGATTGACGCCAGACAAACGAATTGGAGACGAGTGATAGAAGGACGTCTTCTGAAGTGTCCTGTGAGCGGCAAACGTCAAGCTCCAGGTGAAAGGAAATGGAAAAGGGGAGACTGATGGTGAGGGTGAATGACAGGTATCATGACGTCGATGACGATGATTGGAGCTTTGACCCTTGTCCCCGCCTTAGCGCGTATCTAAAGCACGCGCCGAGGTCCCACTCTGGCGCGAGTCCGTCACCTCTGAGCAGAGCTACCCCACGCACCTCTATCGATACCACCGACATACAACTCCAGACGACTTCATCATGTCCCACAAGGCACCTTTGGTCGTTCCCGCGCTCAAGCGACACACAGCCACTGTCATCGTGGCGCATGGGTTGGGCGACAGTGGGGCTGGCTGGTAGGCTCCGGAGCACTCAACACCATGGAGGTCTAGACACTGAAGGACATAGGATATTCCTCGCGGAGAACTGGCGCAGACGAAGCAAGTTCGAGGAGGTCTCGTTCATCTTCCCCAATGCCCCGAGCATCCCAATCACGCTGGTTCGTCAACCACCCACCGCCGCCAACACACGGCATGGGCGCTGATATGCGACTCTACAGAACATGGGCATGCGCATGCCAGGATGGTACGACATCAAGTCACTGAGCACTCTCGATGACCGAGAGGAAGACGAAAAGGGCATCGTCGACTCCCAGAAGTACTTCCACTCCCTCATCGACCAAGAGGTCGCAAAGGGCATACCCGCCAACCGCATCGTCGTCGGCGGCTTTTCCCAAGGCGGCGCCATGTCACTGCTGTCCGGTGTGACTTACAAAGACCAGCTCGGAGGCATCTTCGGCCTGAGCTGCTACCTCCTGCTGCAGAAGAAGATCAAAGACATGATTCCGACCGAGAACCCCAACCAGAAGACGCCCATTTTCATGGGTCACGGCGACGCCGATCAAGTCGTTGCGCACAAGTGGGGAAAGCTGAGTGCTGACGAGCTCGAAAAGCACGGGTTCAAGGTCGACTTCAGGACTTACAAGTACGTCTTGTGTGTAGCAAGAGAGACATGCCTCTGACAAAGTATAGGAACCTGGTGCACTCGGCCGATCCTGATGAGATCGATCACCTCGAGTCCTACCTCAACCAACAAATCCCCGCCCTCGGCGACAAGTCGGAACTCTGACTGTCGAGTTCCTCCACGCTCGTATCGACCGAAGCCACGACAGCCCTGGTGCTCATCATCACATTGGCCATTGCTTGGTTTGCATGGTACAAGCGTGATGCTGTACTCAAGCCGCACGACGATACAGAGTGGCGCAACCTCGAATAACAACAGGAGGTGCATACTATAATGACTTGGATAAGATGTATGCATCACTTGGAATATGGTCGCAGTAGCCTTGCCTCGTAGGTGCTTCTTTCAACTTCTTAGTGAGCCAAATTCAAGTTGTGTACCTGTATCTGTCGGCTCGCTATCCTCACCCAACTAGAGTCTGTATTATCTAGATACAACTAAGAATCTCTGCCCCACCCTCGTTTTTCTAGTTCAGTCACGTCTTGTCTGTCCGCTAGTTTGATGTTCGTCGGTGAGGTTTGCAAAATTTCTTCCACTGCCCCACTCACCACCACGTCAAGTATTGCAATTACTACCTTTATATTGCTACCATTCCTTCAGTGTTCCATCAAAGTCCGATATGGTCTAGTGGCTAGGATTTGCCGCTCTCATCTCGCAGAGTCAGTTCACTGTACAGTGCCGGCAAGGCCCGGGTTCGGTAAGTTCACTCAACTCAATTCGAGTTCGACTCATCATTCTAACAATTCAACAGATTCCCGGTGTCGGAAACAACCATTATTTTTTTTGATGTTGGTAAGGAATGGGAGGTGGTTGAGGCATGGCAGCGCAGGCCAAGAGAGATATGCTTGGTAGATTTTTGGTCGAGTCTCGGTGGCAGAAGTACCCGAGAATCTCAAAAGCAGAAAGACTGTGTATACTCGCGGCGACATCTTTTTAACTCGCGGTGTGTGTTGCCGCAAGTCTTGATATCATTTGCATGCTGTGCATCGAAAGCTTTGTTGGTACATAGACTCACCTTCAGCGTGTATATATGCGCTAATTGGTGCTTACTGTCATCGTGCATCAAACGCAGTCCTAAAATGTCGGCTACATTGATTACGTCCTCTGTTATTACAATGACTTTGGTCGTGACAGTGCGTACCGTAATGCTCCTGCCACGGATATCGCGCATCCGATGCACCTGCCTCGAATTTCATCATCAGGAGAGGGCCAAGCACTGCATGACCTGACCGAGTTTGCGGTGGCTGCTTTTTCTCTACACCGAGTTCCCCCGCTCAGTACCTCCCACGTGCCTCGTCCATGCAGCGCATCCTCTATCAATGCCTATATTTGGTGCTCGCTACACTCGGCCAGCGTTAGTCAGGCCTCCAACAACGTCATACACTACCAACGCCTTTGCACGGGCAGCGAGCTTGCCAGCAATCATACAGACTACCAGGCTTCCAGCGGGGTCTCGCCTGTCTGCTAAGCTCACGCCTCAAAGCTTTGTACCACGGCAAAAGAGAAGAGTCAGGGGTCGCATCGTGTCCGTCCACCAGCTAGTCAGCTTTTAGCGAGTGCTTAATTTCTTAGGGCTGACCCCCCTCCTGGGTTCCCAACCTTTCGCGAATTCATACCCACATTCTGGCTCCTCACAAAAGGTAACTCTCAAGCGCTCAACGGTTATGCAATGTCGTTTCCTATGACGTTGTAGTTCCCGCCGATCTAGTAGATCACAACATATGCGATCAACAAGCACTGCAGCGGAATCTCCACAATCACGACGCAAAGTCAGCCCTCGACCTCGTGAGATAATGCCGACCTTCCGGATCAGTCTGGCCGAAACATGTCATTGGTAAATTTCCGAGCGCTCACCCTTTGGGAAAGCATCTCATCCGTGCGTTCAGGCACGAGCGCCGTATTTGACATGCGCTTCAGCGTTGGCGCACATGTAGCGCCGGCCTAACGCTGGCCTCCAGCGTCAGTCCATGTGGAGTATGTACGAGCGCCGTAAGGCGACGAGCTTTATTGGATGCGTGCGCCATGGGTCAATACGAGAGGGGGGCTATTATTAAAGAGCTGAGCTGCTGCCCGTGAAACTATTCTTCATCGCAAGGTCTTGTTTCTCAACTTACATCACTTTCGTCGTCGTCTCTCTCGTTTCGACAGTCACTCGCTTCGACCAATTACTCGAATAGCCTAATCATAGTCATAATGCGCTTCTCCGCTTTCGCCCTCTTGTCCCTTGTGTCGGTTGCCTTTGCTGGTAACTGCGGACCCCAGAATGGAAACGCCAAGTGCGCTGCCAACGAGTGCTGTAAGTTATGTCCGGACGACATATTTTCGAAACCCTGCTAACATGCATTACAGGCTCCCAGTATGGCTGGTGCGGAACCACCGTCGACCACTGCGACGCAAAGACCTGCCTCCACCCCTTCTCTGGCGCCTCTTCATCATGCAAGCCCACCCAGACAACAATGAAGACCAGCACAACCAAGCAAGCCACCTCGCCCGCCACCACCTTCCCTACCGCCGTTCCCGAGATCGACGTCTGTGGACACGCCCAAGGCGGTGTAACCTGCCCTGGCGCCGGTGCCAACGGCTACTTCTACCGCTGCTGTTCCTCCGCCGGCCACTGCGGCCCCAAGAACGACATCCAGGACCAGGCTATCTACTGCGGTGGCGGCTGCCAAGCTGGTTACGGAAAGTGCGACAACCAGAAGGCGCCTGCTGAGCCTACTGCCCCCAAGGGTACCTCCGGTGCTGGAGAGACTTGCGGTCCTATTGTCAACAAGAAGTGCGCTGCTGGTCTTTGCTGCTCTGGATCCAACTTCTGTGGCACTGGTGAGGACTTCTGTGGAAAGGCCAACTGGTGCCAGAGCAAGTGGGGAAAGTGCAACTAAGACGTTGGACTCAAAGAAGATTTCAAGATGGAAGAGACATTTATATTAGAGTAACGAAAACACTATTTTTTGGGGAGGAATGTAAAGACATGAGAACCACAGATCATATTCACCTGCGTTACTTGCTTGAAAATCTTTTTCCTTCAACACTGCCTCATTCGATGCCACTCAACGGGTAGACCTCTTCTTCACTAAACCATTCACAGGACAAACACAAGCATGTGCAACAATACATGCCACTATATCACATACGCACGTAGTTGCCACGCTCAAAACAAAACCTCTCCTCCAGAATACCTACTCATGGCAAAGACAGTCCATTTCGAACCCCATACCCCAAACCCAGACTCTGACTACCTCTTCCACGGCAGCGGCACCGTCTTGAAACCTTGCCACATAATCCGCTACATCTACCCCTCCCTCTGTGACTACCCGCCAGGCTGTCTGCGTCTCCAACTGCCATCCAACTCCTCTTCGCGCTCCCGGCCTCAAGGTTCCGGGTCCTGGGGCACCGACGGCCACACTTTTCTTAGCATAACGAACGCGCAGAAACTAGCTCCGCACTCGGCTTCCTTTGCAGAATGGTCAACACGGGAGTTGGAACGGGATAGGAAGAGTAAGAATGCATTGGCGAGGGGCATGGCGAGGATGAGCTTGTATGTGGGTAATACGGTGTTGGAGGCGGGTAAGTTTCAACTAAGGAGAGGCGAGGTTATGTGTTTTGTTGTTGTGAGGAGGAGCGTTGTTGTGCTTGAGGGGGGAGGAGGACATGGGGATAAGAAGGGGTTTGGGAGGGAAGAGGAGAGGTATGTTATCCCGTGTACGGAGTGGAGAGGGATGATGCCACCGATGGTTGAAGGGAAGGAGTACGATTGTTGGTGGGTACGCTTACATGTAAGTGTTGTACTTTGCACTCGTGTGTCGTGATGGAAAGAAGAAGAAGAAGAAGAAGAAGAAGAAGAAGAAGAAGAAGAAGAAGAAGAAGAAGAAGAAGAGGTGGGTAGAGAGGGTAAGGATGAACAACCACGTACAAAAGCTGATCAAGCGCTATCTAGAACCTCTTTCAGGCAAGCTATGATCGGGCGTTTTTTCATGCTCGGGACCAGATGGATAATGTCCTTCAGATGGCGCCGCCGCTAATCAACTGGTACCCCAGACCCGACATCGAAGCACTCGTCACCGTACACCGCGATACTCCACCACCACGCGCACAGGCAAAATACCTAGGCGACGCATGCCCAGCCTGCAGCCGCACCTGGTTCACCGAGAGCGAATATGCGTGCCGCCTCCATTGCGGCCACTTCCTCTGTCTTGAATGCCTAACCCAGCACGTCGATTCAAGTGCCGGACGAGGCAAATTGCTTCCGGGCGAAACCGACCCGCTGACTAAATTCTTCCGCTGCATAGAATGTAAAAGCATAACAGCTCTCCTCGTCGACCGCACCGCCGTGACACGCCCCGACGAACTACACTGGTGGCGTTGGAAAATCTGCATGCGGCGTCTAGAAAAGGAAGCTTCAGAGTTCTGGCTTGTGAGACTCCAGACACTACCGCATAGTGGGTGGTTCCGCGATATACCACAAGACTGGGATACTGATCGGCAGGTCAGGGAGATCAGAGTCCATGTCCGCTATGATGATGCGGTAGCGTTTATGCACGTGCCGAAGAGAGTTTGGGCAATGTTGCCGTATGGATTTAGTTTGGACAATCCTGTGGAGAGTTGCGAAGCGCTGGCGTTGGAGAAGTGTTTGAAAGGCGAGTTGAAGCGCCTTTCTGTTGAGCGCAAGTTGTTCAACACCAAGGAGATTCTGGATCATATGGCGAATGTGGGAAGGGGTGCGTTGAAGCCTGTTGTTGTGGAGGATGTGGGTGCGAGATTGGGTAATCCGGTAACGCCGCCGGGGTATGAGGCGTATCGCGATTTCTTGTGTGAGTGGACTGCGAGAGGGGTGCTCATGTGTCCAATGGGACGGATGCCGATTCTGGAGTTTTTGAGAAATATGGACAAGGAAGGGAACAAGAAGAGGGCTTGGTGGAAGGACGTGCGGGATGTCTTCTTTGATTCGTAGACTGTAGGAATCAGAATTAAGGGTTCACCCTAACGGTATACTTAAAATTTTCTATTGTCACTTTGACAGAGAGACAACAGTGTAAACATTCAGGGTAGGTGTTAACAATTGAAGTATGACTTGGCAGAAACAAGCTCCTTCGTACGAATGACACATTGCTGGATGAATCTCTATATATGCAAACACAGCACAAGTACTCGCTAGACCCTACGTATCAGACATCAAATAACTTCAGACACCCCATTTCCTCCCAACCCCCCAGTCAAACTCTTCATTCTCCTGCCCAACAAGTCATCTTCGCTCGCCAGACTAACCAAGCTCTTGCGTCTCCCTCTATCATTCTTCGTCCTCCCCCTTGTACTTCCTCGCACACCAGACCCGTTCTGCTGTGGCGGACTCTTCTTTCCCTTATTTAAAACCGTCATCTCCAACGGCCTGTCTTCCTCTGCCGAAGACGCGGTGTTGGTACGCCGATGATGTCTCTTCCGTTGATGTTGCGGAGAAGTCAAGCCATCAATAGCATCTTGTAAACCCACTGTACCGAAATAATCGCTTCCTTTTTCTCGTGGTCTCCTCGGCGTAGCAGTAACAGCAGGTGTGTACATGGGCGTCTCATCAGCCCTCCTCCCGTCCGTCGCATCTTCAAACGCCTCAGCAATCCATTTGCCACACCTGAAGATGTACTTCCACCCTTCTGGAAAAACCCCTACAAACTGCAAGAATCCATGACTGATTCCCGGCACCAAGTCCACATTGACCCACTCCCCCTCTCTAAACTCACCTCTCGCCCAGTCTAGTCCCAACTCCTTCGCCGCAACCCACTCGGCACGCTTCGCTTGCCGCAGCCTGCCTGCGAAGATAACCGTATCATCTACGAGCGGATCGCGCTCACCCGTCAACATCCATGTGCGTGGGAACCTTGCTAGTAGGGACTCCGGGGCGAGTAAAGGAGAGAGGAGGTAGTCGGTTGAGAAATCTGGGCGGTGGTGCGGGCCAATGTAGAGAATTATCATTGCGCGCATCATTTCGGGGGTGAGGATGCGGTCGTTGAAGTAGGATATCATGGAAGACATTGCGAGGCGAGTTTTAATGGCTGTGGCTGAGGGTGCTGGGACTGTTGGACCAGGTGTAGAGGGCTGTGTCGCGGCCGGTGTGGGCGGTAAACTTGAATTGGCAGGAGTTGTTTGGCCGGGAGTTTGGTTGAGGGTGCTGGTGTTAGTGTCGAGGCGGGGGAGAGAGGTGCTGTCTTGGTTGGTGTGTGCGGCGGAGAGGTTGATCATTGTCTGGGGAGACGTCCTGAGACCATTGGTCTTTGGCATAGATGCATTGGTCGTGCTGACTCTGTTGCGCTCATCTTCGTCGTCACCATCCGAATCATCAGAGCCATATGGTGTGTTGGGCGCAAGTTGTCTGTAATCATCGCTCTTATGCCGTAAGATGGGTCGGTTCGTCTTCCTCACTCGCCGGTCGCGGATAAGCGCCATTTGCTCGTCGGTCATCCAGTTGCCAATGTTCATGTCCAGCGCAGGGTAGATCAAGACTACGCCGATTGGAGGCGGGATCGCATATTCACCCTGCCACCTTCGCGTCTCAGTCGAGCCACTTTGCAATATCATGAGCACCATAGCAGTAACCAAGTTACCCCCAGCCGAATCGCCCGAGACAACGACCTTGGGCTCTACTTCTCCCGATAGACCCATGCACGTTCCTCTCGATGCGATAATCATGTGGTAGACGTCGTAACATTCGTTGAGCGCATACGGATACGGGTGCTCAGGAGCCTTCTTGTAATCCAGACTAAGGACAGGCAGGCCCGTCTTGCCAGCCCAGCCCATGAGCTTATCATCATGATTCCTCGGGTTCATGGCCACGAAACCACCTCCAGGTATGTCCAAGACGACCTTGTCCTGCTTCTTCAATGCGCTCCGCGGCCCGTTGAAGTACAGCCAGCCGGTCACGGGTTCCTTGTACGAACTAGCCTTGGGTCGCGGTATGCGAATCTGGCGCGGCGGATAGACCATCAGCCTGGGTCGCATCATGCTCGTCAGCGCGCCCAGATACGGCGTGGTGCCTTTATTCCAAGCGACGCGCAAATGGTCGACGGTAAGCGTCGCTCTAATCTTGCGGACTTTCTCGTCGGCTTGCTCGGCACATATCAGGTAGTATATGCTGAAGACGATAGACAACAGATCCCTGACGCCCTTGCGCTTAATCCGCATAGCAGACCAGAAGCCTGCGTCCAGCGCAGTCGTGACCCATGTAGCGCGGAAGTAGGAGCGCGAGTAGAGGCTCGCAAGGGGCTCTGGGCACTCGAGGCCCACAAGCTTGCCGAAGTTGCGGGCAACGTAGAGGTAGAGGAGAGTTATGAGGACGGATTGCCAGACGGTGAGTTTCTTGGAGAGGAGGGCGGATATGCGGCGGAGGATTGGTGGGCCATGGCGGTCGCCTCTACGGGTTTGTTAGTGTGAGAGAGAGAGAGAGTGTGTGTGTAGAACTTGCCTGTAGAGGTAAAAGGACCAAAAGGATACCACTGCCAACACCTGTATCTTCCTGAACTGCACCGATGGCCGTCCCAATACATGGTCTATCATGGCCGTAGCTCTTTCCTAGCATAAAGCACTGTGTTGGACCAAGTAGATGCAGTCGCAGGCCTATTGTGCGTCATGAAAGGCGTCAAGTCGGGTCTACACGTACGTCGCAAGTCTGTCGGCGTAAGCATGTGAATGCCAGCTGAGGTCAAGTCGTAACGCAAACCCGGGGTGGATCTCGTCTGGGGTATGGGGAAAGCCATGGAACAGCGGCGCAATGCGCATTATGGTCATCAACCCCCAGTTTGTCCACGACTACAGCAATAGCCGTTCAAGCCGTCGACAAGCGCGGCGAATTAGCTGTATTGAGGCTCTGTGGTTGGGTGAGGGTCCGGCATGTGACAGGTTGCGGAGGATGCGTGCGTGCCATGTGAAAGCCGCGCTATGACATCTTCTCGGCTTTGTTGCATTCTTTCCGAGGAGCTAACCAGGCCAACGTCAGCCGCCCTCGCCGCAGCCAGGTCACGTCTTCTTTGTTTAGCACCACCTCCAAGTAGCAGTTTGTATGTGACACAAGTATTCGTCTCCAAGTTCATCTCTTCATGAACCTAAATATTCTACCATGTCAACACCTCGACAAGCCATAACCTCGACAGTCAGAGCTTTGTACAAAGATCTTGATAGCATCATGCCCCCAAAAGAAGAGAATAGACAGAAAAATGGAGAAGAAGAAGAAAAAACCCATTCCATCGCCTGAAACCACGTGGGCCATTCGAGCTACGTCAACGACATCCATCAACCCTTAATCCACTCCCCAACCTCGAACCCCACCCTCCTTAGATCCGCCTCCGCAAACTTCGCCCCAGCCTCCCTACTCTTCCACACAGTTAAACACCGAACCCCATCATCCATCTCAGGTTTAGCTCTCACCTGCCCCTCCTTCGGATCGTAACCTCTCACATAAAGCGTCAAATCCGGTCCTACCGTTCCCCGCCAAAGCGTCGCCATCCACTGCCAGTGGTCTGTCGGGCTGTAAGCGTCTTGGATGGGGATGCGGGATGCGTATGCGATCGAGGCTTGAAGTTGAAAGGTAGGGAGGATGATGACGGGCTTTATGCTTGTTGACATTAGGGGAGAGTCGGGCGGTGTGGTCGAGTCCTTCCGGGATGGAGTGGATGATGTGACGGCAATGGTGGATGGGTTTGAGGACGCGATGGTGTCTTTTGGGGAAGAGGGTGTGGATGAGATGGGCGTAACGATGTACTTGATCATCTCCTTGCTTTTGCCATGCCACTCCTTAATTAGGTTGAGATAGTTCTCAAAGGTGACTTCTTTGTTATCGTCATTGGGAGCCTGAGGTGGCTCGGCTATCTGCGGTTTGTACTCTTTCTGCTTAATGAGGTACTCGTTCAACCACTCTGAGAGTTCCTTGACTGCAGCTATCTCGTCACCTTCGATGGCGATGATGGCGCCGCGATTGGTCCGACACGATGGGCTTGCGGAGCCCGGTTCTTTGTACGGAGGCGTTATGCGTCCAAGCAATTTAATCTTGTTGGAATATGGGAATGCATTGAGCACTTCTTCTACGCTTCTTGGGCTACCTTCATGTTGTAGAGGACCCAACTCAACCATTGAATTCCGTTGCAACTCACGAGGAGTTCGTGGAGGAGGCATGGTCGCACTATGAGGCGGCACATGAATAGGCGGGAATGACTCACGTCGGTGAGCATACTGAGTTGGGGCATAGTACGGTCCTTCCGCTCTGCGACCGTTACTCGTTGGCGGAGGCGGTCCATAGTCGAACCGACGCTTCTTGTTCGGTGTTAGAGGGCTATACATTATCGAGTCCGTATGCATCGCTGAAGTTACTTGAAGGTTGCTGGGGCGGCGCATAACTGGTGATTGTATGCTGAGGTTACCCACCACAGGTAAATAGCGGGTTGTTGGTGTGAGACCTTCCGATATATTGGGAGGCGGCAGAGTTGGTGTGCCAGAGGCATCAAGAAAAGGACTGGCGGGTGTTCTGAGACTACGACCACCACATTTGTGGCAGCGATACTTGTCGATTGTAGTATGCTGACCAGTAGGGTTCAACGGAGATGATCCCGGCTTGCCAACACGACGCGGTTGGTAGCGGTAGTCAGGGTACTGCTCCTGATGCCTAGCTTTCTCTTCCTTGAGTCTCATGTTAATAAAATGAACACAAAGAGATGTACGAATGACCACTAACCTGCGCAAGATCTTGCCAAACCTTCTTCTGCTCTTCACCTTCAGCTTTCCATTGTTCACCGATAATCTTGGAGATGTCGGGATTGTTGAGATCAGGATTGCGAGCGGTAATGGCCTGCTGGTGATGCTGTCGATAAAGGATGAATGCTATGAAAGTAGTTAGTGGGCTGAACAACAATGACTACAGACAAAGACTCGTGTTTCGGTTTTGATCCACAACCCAAGTCGTATAACCCGATTAAGGAGGATATGTCCTTGGAAGACAAAGGAATGCCATGGACTCACCATTTCGTGGCCGTGGTATTTTTGGCTCCGGTTGGCAAAGACACACGTGACCCGAAAAGTCTGGAGACCCTACTGCAGTTGCAGAAGTAGCGCTTGGAGGAGGCATATCGTCGATCGGACTGTTGCAGTCTTCTCTCTCATGAACCTCAATAAGTGAAGCGATTCTTTTTCTCGTAGTCCGGGGCGAAGACAAAGCAGGGGATATCGGCTGCTCTTCTTTGTTGCTTCCCTCCGCAGTAGGGTTAGAAGTAGGAGCAGACCGCGTCTCATGAATTCGACTGCTCTTACGCAGACTTCTCAAAGGCTTTGCATCGCCCATTGGAGACACTGGAGAACCGTCACCGACCTGCATGTTTGACTTGACGTACCGCCGAGGCACGTGGAAGAAGATAGCGACAGGAGGCTGGGAAGAGATTGGTGAAGTCCGAACAATCGGTGGCAACACTCGGCTTGCTAGCATTTTTGAGATTCAGCGACGAAGCAGTTCATCTAATGAGTTTTGTCGGAAGAAGGCGTGGTTCATTGTCTCTGGCCGAACAGGAAGGGAGGAGCCGCGTTGGACGAGCCATACAACATTCTGTGCTTCTCTTTGAATGCATTATCCGGTGCGTCGAGTTGGCATCGATGTGCTTTGACGAATCAGCCGTTGCGATCCAGTAAAATGATTGTTCCAGTCAGATGTAACCGATCTTCTTAGGGACTTTCTTTGTTCTCATCCCGCCAAGACACGCTCTACCGACCCGCGAGACATGACAGCATTCCTGTACCCGCTGCGCAAGGGGCTCCAACAATGCAACACGTCTTTCACGATGACAGAAGTGACTCAGTCTCGGGATCTACACGGTTGTACTGCGCATTGCATCCATAAGCCGTCCTTGGAAGCGAGGCGCAATCTATGCCACATCGCTGAGAACCATGAAGCCCAACGAAGCCTTGGCCGAGTTCTAGACAGTGTCTCTACCGTGGCGTACTAGAAACCTGGAGGGAATTTCAGGTTGAAGTTCTGTCCCTCTTGTTCCTTAGGTTTTTCGTTGTTGTCGGAGCTTTGCATCTCGCGCTCATTGACAGTTTGATTTCCCCGTACGAGGCTAGCGGCTTGCTTTCCGATTAGCTCATGGGCAGGACCGCTGAGTTGGACGTTATCCCTATTACCTAGTCAGATTGAGACAATGCGTTTGTGTAGCCGTTGACTTACCAGAATAAGTGTGCGGCTGGAACGGAGCACTTCTGCACGTCGGATGTTTGTAAATCTGCTGCACCACTTCGTTGCGGCACGAGACATGGTCGTTCAATCTGTTCGAAAAGAGGGGCTTGTTTACCGACACCAGCTGCATCTGAGATCTGTCTCGAATGTAGCTGTTTGGCGCGAACTTCCTCCATGATCAAATCATTCGGCCCAGGCATGTAGACAGCACCTTTGTTCCACTGGGATGCAGTCCGAACCAAAACAGTATCCCAATATGACCACAAAAACACCATTCGGTGCTGAGTCACCGCAAAGTCGGCTTCCCGCATCGCTTTCTTCTGCAGCTGGAACTGAGGTAGGAAGCTAGCGTCGATCATCTTCGGCATGACGACTTTCGGCGGATTTGCAGTATGTTCGGCGAGTACATCAAGATTCAGAAACAGCGATGCAATGCTCTTGTCCACAGCAGACATGGCGGCAGCCTTTTCCAGTGTAGAGTACTCCAAAAGATCCCACAAGCCGAAGAAGACGGTGAAGAAAGTCCACTCGTCCCCTTTTCGCAGACTTTGAGGGATAACTCGACGTCCTTTGTCGTAGGTGATGTACTGTTCCACCTGTGTCTTGAAGTCGAATGGAGTTACGGTGGTCTCGTTGCTCCCGGCGCCTTTCGCTTCCGAGTGAACATCTACGTCAACCAACGATCCGATATGTGCAGCGGCAGCCGGCTTGGAGTGCGCGAAGTTGTCAATAGTATCACACGCGAGCTGAAGTCTGTCAGGTCATGTCTTCACGTTGTTTGTGACTCCCACTAACCTCTTTGCATAAAGTCTCTACCCACAAATCGCCTCGGTCAGCATCGCGGGCAACGACCGCAGACAATACAGGCGACGAGACGCGGTAGCTTCCAGTGTCGGACCAATCATTACCAAATACTACAATGCGATGCGCGCTACCGCGCCAGACGGTGTGGACGGTGTCTTCGAAGTCGGCAGAGTGAACCCAGGTGAAGTACAAGATCATAAGAATAGCTAGAGCCGCACATACATGCAGCCTTGAGAAGAACCTCATCGCGCTACAGCACTAGCTAGTTGACGGTTCAAAAAGCGTGTAAGAGTGAAGTGTTAGCAACGCGATCAGCTCGAGCAAATGAAAGCAAATGGCGGGCAGCCTTTGTGAAAGTATAGGCTCGTAACTGCGGGATCTCCCAGCGTCAACATGGCTGGGCATTGAGGAACATGACGACGCTTGTGCAGTGCGAGCCTTGCTGTGGGTGTCATCCCCGGGATGACATGGGTCAGAAACGTCTACTACGCCCGAAAGCGGATACATGTCGCGTGCGCGTTGCAGACGACGCTATCAACCTATGGTTATCTGTCAGTGGAAGAATATTTAACCCACACATTGCATGGTGGCGTCTCCTAAACATGCTATCCCCTTCTTTTATCGCTGTCATGCCACCGAATCTGCACTGCGCCGCGTACACAAATGCGTGGACGTGAGGTTTGGCCGCGCGGAACGAACGGCCGCGTCGGCATCGAGCGACCCACATCAGTGGCGTAATCTGTGGAGCAGATTTCAAGGCCTTACGTGTATAATTTTAGTTGAGGAGTATCAGTGGAGGACATGCGATGCCCAGGAGTGAAGCCACAAATGCAACAATGCGCTATGCCTATAACGTGCGAAGTGCTTATCCTGCCCGTTGGATACGATCTGTGTCGGGGCGCCTCAAGCCGCTTACTGTGCCGGTTACTCTCCAAACTCCAGCCTTGCGAACCGACTCATCAAGTTATTCCTTGTCGCACCGCCATCGTCAATACACTGTGCTACAAGGAACGCCTGATCTGCCCATTTTCTTGTCGCATCGTCATTCTCCTGCAAATAATAGTCCACGGCACGATTGAAGAGGGTGCATGCAAGCCATTCGAGCTCTGGCTTGGGGTAGCGCTCGAGTTCCTTGATGTAATTATCAGCCGGGTCTGCAGCGTCTGCGTTCTTCGCAGGGTCAGATGATAGCGGTGGTGTGTGCAGTCCAACTTTTGCAGTGATAGAATGGACGGTCTGAACGGACTTTGTAAAATGAATCAATAGGTAAGAAGGTAAATGGGACTTACGTTTTGCTGCTTCGCTGCCATGTGCGTTACTTGCTCAATGCACTTGAGACTGGCTTTCTCGTCATGCTCAAGTGAAATATTGAACAGGCACCGGAGCCAACGAGCCAGCTTCGTTATGTCCCGGTTTGATTGTCGGCACGTCAGATTGATGATCTTCTCAAGAACAGACAGTACTTCTACGAATCTTGTCAGTTCGGTTCTCACGCAACTCAGCTTCAGGTCTTACTTGTCTGGTACTTCTTATCTACGCCCGCTTTCAGAATGCACCCATGTACAACCAGGACAAGATCTGCCAACGTTTCGTAGTGGTCTGGACTCTTGTACTTCCAACATTGGTCGAAAAGCTTGTCGAGTTCATCCCATCTTTGAAGCTTGAGCACAGCTTCAAGCTCCAGCTTGACAACTTGGAGGTGTTTGGAAATAATGTCGGCTTGAGACGGTCCACTGAGTTTGTCTATACCTTCTGCTGCAGCTTGTCGAAATTCTTGACTGTGTTTGCGGGTCTCCAGGTAGTAATGAATCTAAACTAGTCAGCTATTGGTCAATGCAACAACACACGCGACTGACGCTCTGCTCAGTGTTATCCTCTGCGCGTGCCAGAGTGGTGTAGGTGCATGCAGCGAGGAATTCGCAGAACACTAGTCGGAGGCAGAGGTCACCGTCTGCCTCTGGCTGGGTCTTCCCCTTGAGCAGTTTGATGAACTCGATACAGCAGCTCAGCAACCTGACCAGAGACCCTGGTGGCATCTCCGCACAGTACTTGAGCGATATGTTATAAGCATTCTTGAAGAACCATTCAAATTCCACGGCTGTAAACAATTCCTTAGCCGGTGTGCTCGGCCTCGTACGGGACGCTTTAGCTTGAAGGCATGCTAGCGAGTGTTATGAAAAAGTCTTCAACCAGAAAGAGCGCTGCCACGCACCTCCTTCGAAGACACTGCAAATCTGTCTCAAAACGCCGGTGTCAATCTTGCCGTCCTTGATAAGTGCAGACTCTAGCATACGAGTGGCAGACCTGGTCACCTGTCAGCAACGTAAAGCAACTCCAGCGAACGACTTACCGCAATAGCGCAGGAAGATTGATCTCTGCTAGCGCATTATGCTCGTACTTTTCAAGCACCTTCTCCAGAGCACGAATGGCCTGCCTCTTGTTCCCCGCACTTTGAGCCTCCATAACACAAGCATAAAGCAGAGTAGCATCTTTCGCAGAACCCCGACAAACATGATCGAGACATTCAGCCGCAAAGTCTTCATCCCCGCCTCGGAGACCAGCCTTATACATCAAATATCTCGTCACAGGTTCATCCTTGCCACTCTCTGGCATCTTGTTATGCACTTCCCTCGCGCCCTCATAGTCATGCGTCGCCAGTGCACACTGTATAATTTTTCTCGCAACTTTCGCTTTATTTTGGACCCCAGCTCTCTCGAAGATAGCATGGAGGCACATCCGGCACCACGCCTCAGCCACATGATATTGTTCCTGGCTAATTGCAGCCCCTACTTTCTTCCACAACAAAGTCTGCGCAGCATGTGTGGCAGGAGCAGAAAGGCGAATCTTCGAGTTCTGGTCGACAGTATCGAAGAGCTCCTGGAGCTGCTCGAGCGTATTGTCAGCGAGATTGTTGTTTGTTCCAATCCAGATACGTGTGATGACAGCTTTTTCGATCCAAGATTGGTTTTCTTCTCGAAAGAGCCGAACGTCGATTAAATCCTCGAGCGCTTTGCAGGCGGTGGTGTTGCTGTGATCTTTCAGCTTGTGTATGTAATGCATGATGGTCTTGAAATTTGTGTCATTCAGCACGACGGTGCGTATCATGCGCAAAAGGACATTGTGGAATTCGGTTGTGTCGAAAATCTGAGCTTGGGATAAGAGTTCGATCTTCAGCAAGGAGACGATCATTTTGTCTCCAAAGTCTGTTTCCATCAACCTCATCATTTGCCATGCTTTCTCTTGTGTTTCCACGGTCTTGGTCTTCATGTATGCGTTGACTGATGATATCATTAGCTGTCGTTTTCCGGATGTGTATGATGTGTCTTCTTACCAAGACTCTGCATGATGCTAAGTCTCAGCTCACCAATCTCGGGGCTGAACATGTCCAGATCCTGCTCTCCAAGGACATCAAAGGCGCGTTCTAACCACCTCGCGGCAACTTCGTAATCGCGCTTCGCCAGGGCGGTTTTTCCAATCTCATACAGTAGATCAACAAGCTGTTCAGTCGTGGTAGCGTTGAAGCTTTTCCTAAACTCTTTACACTTCCTAAACATGTGCTCTGCCACGTCCACACGACCACTACGCCATGCCTATACGTGCGTCAATTCGATGGCTCATCTCAAGGGCGTCGCACCTGATAGTTCAATTACCAGAGTTGTACGCACAGCAAAATACTGCGCCCTGAACCCATCTGCAAGCTCCCCGTCCCTCTCATCCCCACCTTCGTCCCGCTTACCCAGAACATCTTCGTAATCGGCGGCGCGTTCAAGAACTTTTGTTGCAACGCCCAGTTCATTCCCCTCAATGCATACTCTGGCCGCCTTCAAGGCAACCTTGATCAATCGAATACAGTTCTTCCTTTGCCGCCCCTTCGGACCCCGGCCGCCAGCTGAATCGAGCAGCATGAACGCGTAAGCACGCAGAAAAGGCAGAATGTGAAACTTGTGCGCTGTCACATCTTCGGATTGTGCATCTATGTTAGATTCGTCTTTGCGGCGCAAGCGTGTAGCTTGGTTCCAGAGCTCAGTTCCTAGTTTATCGAGTTCATCTTGCTTCGCGGTGAGGGTAGATGAGGCTTGGAGAGGGAGGCCGCGCATCTGCGTTTGGAGTTCACTGATGAGCGTCGCGTCATTGTTACCAGTTTCGATGCGTTCGCTGAGAGTTGACGCGAATGCTAGAAAGAAAGTGAGCGTCATGCGCAGGGTAAGTATAAAGGATAGCACTCACTCAGAACCGCCTTCAACTTCTTTTCGCGCTCTAACCTTGTTGCTGATTGCGCGTGAGACATCTTGCATGAAAGAGGTGGAGAAAAGACAGGTGGAGGGTGACGTGTGGAAAGTGAAGTCGCGACCTGCCATTCTCGAAGGTAACTTCACCTACACGTGAAAAGATTGGGAAGGAGCAACACGCGAGTGCATCTGAATTAGAGACTGAAGAACAAATACAACCAGATAAAAATGCAAGCAATAGGATATACATGTTGAAGTAAAGCCTCTTGCCGCAGTCATAATTACCTTCACAACAGATTGTGTACATACTTTTTCTGGTGGATGCATCTAGACGTCCAAGCCCAATGTTGCTACATCCTCAACTCATTACAAACTACAGTTCAATGCCTCCGGTGAGCAGTGAACTTGCCATAAAGGTTCTACGAAGCTGGTAGCGACCCCGACGTAGCCTCAGTGATAGGAAGGAAGTTACCCACAATCAACGCCGGTCTAGTCACAGTCAGTCTAAGCTCCCATGCAAACACCGACCACCACTTACATATTCCAAGCATCTCGCTTCACCGTAAATGAAAAGCAGCACCGTATCTCTGGATCCTTGGAATGCGGATCTGGATTCTTCAGGGAGCAACTCGTCAGAATAGCTTTCTGCGTATGATCGAATGCGATGGCGCCAAACTTCTCCCAATACGATACCAGCGATGGTTCGGCAATGATCTCGTGCAGAGCGATGTTACCCTTTGTTCTGATTAGCTTGCTCTACATTCAAGCGATAGTTGTTCTGGCTTACGTCTCGCAACTTCGACATCGGTACGTGGATGAGCCGCGCCATTTCCTTGTTGCCGCGATATATCTCGCCTGTTCTTCTCCAGCAGCACGCAGGTATCGCCATGCTAGCGAAGACGCGGTCGTACTCCATTAAGCTCTTGTCGAACCACATCTCAATGCGTACTAGATCGACGTCCGTCAGGCTCTGCATTCGCTCGCGGAACTTGGGCCGGAAGCGATCTAGTTGGCGAAGTACGCGGATGCGAGATGCCTGCTGCAGGTTTTGTTCCATATACTGGTTTAATCTGGCATACCCCTTGACGTAGTTGAAAGGTTTTAGAAGCCCTGCGTCGACTTTCGCTTTGAGTAGTTTGTTCATGCGCTCTTCAGGACTGTCGTTTCCAGCAGGGTCGGCGGCTGTGACGAGGTATCTTTCTCTGGCCTTGTCGATGGGGACCCCAGCTGCTTGTCGTGATGTAGCATTCCCAGCGGCATTCTGCGCGGGAGGTGGAAGTAATTGGGGCGGTCTTGATGTGCTTGCACTGTAGGCAGAATTGCCATTCAGAGAGTCCATCTGGTTCATGAGTGAGGCATCGGTGAAGAGACTGTGGAAGTCATTGCCTCCATAGAATGCACCGTCATCCATGAGACTGTTGTTGAGGAAATCGTTGAGCAGGTTATACTCATTGCTAACTTCTGAGGTATTGAACATATATGAAGGGTGGAATTGCATGTCCTGAAGGTTGTTCTGAGACGAGAGCAAACCATCGTAACCCAAAACTCCCAGGAGTGTCAGTGACGATTACGATGTGGAGCTGAGAGGAAGTGTAACTCACAAGGCTGACTACCAGCCGTCAAAGCAGGCAATTGTGGCGCGGATACGGGGTCGTTTCGGGTACCTGATGTTGTGCTGGCATCCCTATTAGGAGGTACTGGATGCGTGGCCAGGTTAAGCCCTGCATCCGGAACTGGTGGAGCGGCCGTTGATGCTGCATCGGAGGGAGTTGACTCGACCTGAGTGGGCTGACTCTGTCCATCACCATTCTCTGGCTCAGACTTGGACTTCTTAACACCTTCACGCGGCTCGTCGTGACAGAGGTGTCCAATATTTCGTTTTACACAGCGTGTGCATGGTCGCTCCTGCATTGGGCGAAGGCACAATCAGCTTGCGAATAGATGATGCCTCATTTGGTGCACTTACGAGATCACAGGTCATGTGCTGATTGGTTTGAGTCAGCAAGCAGGAAAGATTGTCTTACATGCGAACACATGGTATGTATCGAATGCTGGGGATGTGGGTGGAGCTCACCGAACGTCTGCAGTAGATGCATGCTACATGGAAGCATATAGGTTAGCAAGGTTGCGGACGCCTTGGCGGCTACACAGCGTCGATGGCTTACCATGGTTTACTTTTCTACGCTTTTTTGGTGGCTTTGCAGGCGCCTCAGAATTGGTCGCATTGGGTTTGCTCTTCGCAGGAGAATGGGCTTTGGACACGTCATTATCTGGGGCAACTTTGTCCTTGTCTGTTTCTTTGGATTCGGCCATGTTGTCTGGCGAAGCTCCATTTGATCGTCGTGCAGCTTCCGTCATCAAGTGTGGATAGTGGGTTGGTGTCAGAGCCGGGTGCTTTTCTTGGAGACGCGCAGGTTCATGTGTGTTACGACAGGGGTCTCGCCAGGCACTGAAGCATCGGAAAGAGCAAAGAAGGTCGCGATGCGCCAGAGACACGTTCTTTGGTGGCACAGCAGAGCCTGTAGTCGCGGTAGACGAGTGGCGGAGAGGTGTGGGTTTAGAGGCACAAGGGACAGGTGAATGTCTGCGGTCGCGTGCTTTGCCGAACCGAACCTTGGAAGGAAGATCCCGGGGGCTGCCAGGACATCCAATAGCGGAGAAGTGCACCGCGAGAATGTCTTAGCGGCAATTTTGACAGCTTCCCGCTGCGAGACGCTGACGATCTTGGATGATTTCCAGGTTATGCGAAGAGCGACGTGCTTGACGTGTTGTAGTTCGCACAAGTTTCGCATAGAAGGGCTGTAGCTGCAGAAGTGGCTCCGCTCTGCCGAGAGGCCATGCCAAGGTGGTGGAGCCAATAACTTTCTAGTGTTGCTACACTACATAAATGGACTCGGCCGCAAATGCACATTTTCCGATGACCATACTGTCGGAATCGCAGTTCTAAAACTGGGAGTAAATTGATAGAGATGCCCTCCAACGCCATACACCTGCCCTGGTATTCATCCCACCCCCGTGTGCAGTACGCCTGCACAGAAGCCAACCCATACGCCGAGTCATGCATAATTATGGAAAGAACAAAAACCGCTGCGGGACCTGCATGTCGACGCTTCAAAGAGCAGCGTACTGCACTGCGCTGGCGTGCTTAAACAGGACATGGTCTAGTGCAGCCTGCGCGTCCCTCATGGCCGTATCGAGACCCTCTACTTGTGTATGGTTGCCCTGCATACTCACCAGGCTGCGTCGCAATTGTCCGAGCACCGGTGCAAGGTCGTCGTTAGGCGTATCGAGGAGGGACAAGTCTACTGGTTGTGATGGCCTGAACTGTATATCGTCTGGACCGTCTCTGTTCGTCGTCGCATCGCCTTGGCCTTGGAGTAAGGGGTGGAGCTACAGCAGGTAGGTTAGCGACACATTCAGCTTGTCTAGAATAGACCGACACGTACCCGTCCGTGCTTCTTCTGGTGTTTCCACTCGGTCCTCCAGCTCTTGACGTTCTTCTTCAGAGCGTCCAGATTGTCTTCGTCCTTGTTCAGCAAGTGCTGAGCAATCTTGGCTTGTTCACTGAGCAGCTGCTTCGCATGCCGGACTGTCGTGGCCTCTCGTGATACTTGGGCATTGCGCTCCGTGAGCTTATCGATGTTGAAGTGGATGTCTTTGGCCTGGGGAGGCATCCGCGACTCAGCTAATTGACGCGCCAGCTTCCGCACAAGGGGATTAAGTGTGTTGTGTGCGGCCATAATCCTGCGCTCGTCTCGCTGTGTCTCGGCGATATCCTTCTTCGCATTGCGTACCACGGCCGTCATCTGCTCCAAGACCTGAGGCGGCAGTTGCGGCCATGTGTCCATCAGCTCTTGCGGTATCCTCTTCGTCTTAGTCTCCAACTGCGCGTACTGGTTGCGCGACTCGTCTTCGGCTTCGGCGATGTCGTCGGATTTGCGCTTGCGGGGTTTCGATGGTTGTGTTTGTGCGCCCACAGCTATCGAGAGCTCGTCCTCGATTTCTTCTTGCGCCTGTTTCTTCCTAGGTTTGCCCTTCTTCGCCGCAGCCGCCCTTGGTGCGGGCTTCGTCTTTGACTTCACAACACCACTAGAATTGCGGCTGCCTGGAGGCCGGCCTCGCCTTTTCTTCCCATTCGCATCACTGAGACGCGCCTGTCATAGTCAGTATGCGCATAGAATAGCGGCATGTTAATGCTTATGCTTACCATGACGTTGGGGTCGAGTTGGGACGCGTCTGGTTGGTGTTGACACTCGCGTCTGGTGGGGAAGGAGCCGAGTAGCGCGGGCGCCTCTTCACGTGCGGACAGTCACTCTGGCCCCTCACCCTTCACTCTCCACATTCACCAACCTCTCATCTCAAGACGCGTGATACGTTCAATTGTACTTTCTCATCATCTCAATACTGACATTTATATACACCTCTAGCTATACTGAGCCGTCTTCCTCACTTCATCAAGTCACCCACCATCAATCCAACACACTAGATTCTCGCTCCTTAAAACTGAGAGAAGAACTTCCAGACCTCACCAGGTGTAAAACTTTGTGGTCCAACATCGTTACCCGCATCTCCGGGCAGCGCAACATGATCTCCATCGAAAGCAGTCCACTGTGTCGGGTACTTGCACCCATCGTATACCGTCTTGATTCGCTGCCTGCTGTTTTTCGCCGGCTCTGGCGCGTTCTTAGCCTGGCACCCGTTCAGTCTCACGAAGCGGTCTCTAATCTCCCTTCCTGAAGCGATGGGCAGGACGCTGTCCTTCACTCCATGCTGCTGATACAAAGCAATTGGATCGTTTCCGCCGGCGCAGCCTGAAAGAGTTGCACCAGATAGCACAGCGATGGCGCGGTACTCCTTCGCACGACTGCATGCTAGACTGAAACTCATAGCACCGCCATAGGAGAATCCGAGGGAGAAGCGTTGTGTCTCGTCTACGCAGAGATCATCCTCGACTTGCTTGCGAATGGTATCGAGGAAGGTAATGTCTTCACCGTTCTGGTTTCCCCAGCCTTTGTTTATGCCGTCAGGTGCGATGAAAATGGCCGTCTCGTTTGCGAGAGCCGCAAGGCCATAGTACGGTGCGCTACCGCCGGAGACAGATGTCATGTCGCCATTCAACCAGTGGAGACCGAAGATGAATTTGTAGGGATGGGAGTTGTCATAGTTCTTCGGGATTCGGAGGGTCCACTGGCGTTGCTTGCCGTTCACCGTCGTCCTTTGGACACCGTTGGTCAACCTTGGTGACTTGCCGCAACCCGCTGTGACAGCGGAGGCGTGATCAAGTATTGCGAGAAACAGAAGTGCGCCAAGTGCGAAGAAAGAGGTTGGACGAAACATGGTCGCTGATCGCTGGACTCGATTGTTGCGTTGGCAGTCAGTTGGTCTCGCAACGGACGCTTAAGTATGTTTTCATCTTCTGCGCTCCATTCAACGATAATCTCCATACCGTCAACCCCATCAAACGATCTCCTTGGTATGCTAGGGGTTGACTGTCGTGAGTTCTGCTTTAGGCATCAACTCCAGACTTTCATCTCGAATACTAGGGGTTAACTGCCGTTATTATCTGCCGTACGAGAAAACCAAGACCTCTATACAATTCAAAGGAGGTCATTCTCCATACCTTTACCTTCATGCCCAATGGACATTGTACAAGTCGCATTTTCGCCAGTCCACAGGTATTTCAGGTAAATGATGCCAAGCGAAAAAACTCGCGGCACTTCGTCCAGGACAAGACAGGTGATACACTTGTGGACCAGTGTTGCATCATGCACGGTGATTTGCTTTCCCCATGGGGTAGTACGCCTAGTATCCTGCAATGCGCCGAATTACGGCATTCTTTTACTCGGATGCCAACCGACTATTCGACTAGTGCAAGTAACACAAGAAAATCGTTGCCGGAGGAGGGCTCGTACATATACTATTCTCCGTGCGGAAACTCTCTCCACTTTCTGACTTGGCTTCTGGCTCGGGGTAGAAAGGCATAAAGACCCGCGGCTGTTTACATATGCAGCATCCGTCATCACGACCTTACACTTTAGCCCCTAGAACCCAATACAACGTTCCTTCCAGTATAACATACCATGTCGGCCAACTTTTCCGGAGCCATCACATGTTCGACCCTTCTTGGCTCGTCGACATAACACCCTAATAAGAGCCATCAGTTCTATTAATGGCAATTCACAGAAACACAAATGCAGTTAAAGTCACTGAAAACACCCAATATTCTGAGCCGAGTCTTTGAAGACTACCCGCCCGGTTCTGTTGAGTTCGCTTCGCAACATTTTAATGTCGATCTACCATTATAGGCACCCAAAGCATGTACAAGATCTCAACACCCGGCTTACCCGCCGTCAGGATACAGCCAATCCCGGAAGAAGACTGTTTTCCCCTCACCAATATCATGAATACAGCAAAACTCAGCGCATGTTGGCGATTTGCGCGAAAACATATGGGCTACATCCACCGGCAAAAATGCCCCATGGGGTACTGACACCACGTTATACAGCCCGCCGGGTATATAGTCAATACAAGCGATGAACTACACATTGCTTCTTGAGGCTAAGCTTTGGAGATGATCCGAACCGCTGAAAACCAATGACCTTGTGGCGTTCAAGACGGAATGGAGGTACTTAAGCTGAGGTTACGATCGATCTACACGACCCCAGTATCAATCAAACACCCCTTCCAATACTAGAAGAAGGTTGCAGCGATGTTGTTCAAGCTCCTGGCAGCGACAGCTGCATTGACCAGCAATGCCATTGCACACCCTCTTTCCTGCAACAGCTCCGCCCCCCAACCCTGGGGCTTTTTTACAAACAACACCATCTATCAAACCTCGGGCGCCGAGGGAATAACTTACCCACGCTATATTGAGCTCCAAGACGGAACAATCATCGCTACAGCATCCCTCTCCGGTCACAACCCAAACTACTTCCCGATCTTTGAGTCCAAAGATGGCGGTGCATCCTGGGAGCACGTTTCCGATCTTCACGACACAGTCAACGGTTGGGGATTTAGCGCCCAGCCCGCGCTGACAGAATTGACAGAACCAATGGGTGGCTACCCAGCCGGTACTATTCTGGGAGGCGGAAATAGTTGGAGTAACAACGGGACAAGGATCGATCTCTATGCTAGCAGAGACGGTGCGCGGACGTGGGAGTTCGTAAGCCATGTTGCTGAAGGCGGGAGGCCGAATACTACAAATGGCGCGACGCCAATCTGGGAGCCGTACTTCTTGTAAGTACCCCAATTCATACCTACTCAACACCACTGGTGCTAATACGTAACGCAGACAGTACCAAGGCCAGTTGGTA